TTCAAATTTATTTTATTTTTATTCAATTCTTTAATTAAAAATAAATTTTATTTTATTGTATTTTAAAATATATTTATATATTTTTTATATTGATTTTAAATCAAGAAAATACATATTATTTAAAAGTATATTTATATAATATACTTATATAAGTATATACTTACATAAGTATATATTTATATAATAAAATAAATAAAATAAAAATATATAATTGTATATAAAAAATATATATATATATTGTTCAAAATAACTATCATTAACATGAATTATTTTAATACTAACATTAATAATATTTTACAAATTGCAATTACATACTAATTAACTATATATGTATATTTAATAATATGTATATTTAATAAATATATGTATATTTAATAACTAAAAAATAATGTATCATTTTGAATTGAATTATTATTATTTTCATTGAATCATTTTCATTATTATATTAATAAAAATTAAAATATAAAAATATGTATTGTGAAAAAACTTAAATTTGTGATTTTTTAGAATATATTGCATATTGCATTCAATATATTGCATGACAGAAAATTGCAATTGCTAATATACATATGTTATGAAACATGATTTTAACCTTCTTTTCTTATTGTCTTCTTTATAGAAAAATTAATTTTAGAAATTAATAATTCGTATAAATTCAAAAATGTGCAAAGTTTGAAGATTATTAAATTAACTTTTTTTAAAATTTTTTAAAAATTATTTTCTAAAAAATTTGAAAAAGATATCTTATTGAAAATGAAAAATTATTATATATTTCCATAGAATTATATAGTAGTTCTAAAATTTAGCAATATAAGTATAGTTTTTTGTATAAGATTTAGCAATGTTGATATTACAAATGTAAATAAATTTGTTTTATATAAATACTAGTCTTATTAAATTTAAGATTTGTAAATAATTAGCAAAAGTAATTATTTATTATCATTTAATTAATATTTCTGATGATTTAAAAAATTATTATTAATTTTAAATTAAATAAAATAATATTTATATAAAAAATATATTAATGAAACATATAAAATTATACATGAGCATTTGTTAGTTAGATAACAGATAAATATAAAAACATTTTTATATATGAAAAATTTTAAACTCTGCATTTTATGAGCATTTGTATTATCAATATTGTTATAATTTGTAATTTTCTATTTAATAAAATAATTTTTTATATTTGTAATGTTTAATATTTTTTAATATAAATATAGCAACCATATGAAGGGATTTAAATAATATATTAGATCTTATAATATATTTGATATATTATATTTTAGCTATTGAAGAAATTGCTGATTAAGGTGGCAGATTGGATCTACATTTCTCTTAAATACTGTACCTATCCCACTTATTTGTTGGGTTGGATATAGTGATAATTTGTTGATAAATATATTAGGTTTATAATATTAGAATATTTTATACCATTTTATAACGTATATTCATTAATATGAATTTATAACAAAATTAATTATATGATAAAATATATGACTATAACATTATACATCTAAAACTAATTATGTTTTATATAGAAACTGAATTTTATGGTAAAAAAATTAAAAATGTCATTAATAAATGTTCTTATTTTATGTGAATAATGAGTATTCACATTGCAAGTTTAATAAAAGTTTCATGTATTAGAATTCAATGATTGTGTCTAACACCTATATATTTTATAGGCTAATAAAACTAAAAATATAGGATCTCTTTTGGAAGATAAATGGGTGCACAATAGTACAAAATTTAATAACAACAATAATAATAACTATAATAATAACAATAATAATGCAAAAAAGGTATGTTCAATATTTGCATGAAAATTTTGTTAAAATTGAAAAAGTAGATTCTTGCATGATTTAAAACATATTAATAAATTATAAGATAAATAATACAAACAATATTTATAATTTTATGATTTAAAACATATTTTTGATAAATTATCAAAAAATATTTATTATATAATTTTTACAAAATATTCTCAAATATAAATTTAAAATTTATATAGAATATAAATAGAGCATAATATTCAATTTTTTTTTTTCAAATTACATATATTTCATAGACATATAGTACTTAATAGTTAGTCCATAAATATTTCTATAAATATTAATTTCTTTTTTTATAAGATTAAAAAATTCAGTTTTTAACATTTTTCTATTATTTATAATCAATAACAAATATTAAAATATAATTAATTTATTAATTATTTTAATTTTAAAATACTATTACAGGTATTTAATTATACATATGTATATAATCTTTTAATATAGTATAATTTAATATATTAATATTTTGTTGCATGTTATTTAGCACCAATGACAATCTGTAAGTGATGCATTGATTTTATTAACTTTTCTATAACTTTTCTAAGAAAAAATGAAACTTACCTCATAACATTATTTTAAAATTTTTTATATTTTAACTAAATTATAATTTATAATACTTTTCATTTTAACTTATTCTATATATATATGTATATGAAAATAAATTTCATATTTAATTTTAATTTTGAAAATCAATACTATAAATTTAAAAATTATTATATTATAAATTCAAGATCATATCAAAATATATATCTAAATATAATGTAAGAACAAAATGTAAGAAAAACAAAAAATATACAAAAAATTGTTGCTGATTTCAAAAATTTAAAAAAAATCTCAGAACAAGAATATTTATTAAAATTATTTTTAAATTGCATAAAATATTTCTTATTGGTATAGTCGTTAATATGAAACATTTTACTCACATAATTACTTTTAAATCTTAATTATTCGTTAATTATTCATTGAATATCAGATATAAATTGTGCTTTACTAATGTGTTTTTGAATTTATTTATTTTATATATATTAATATATTTTGAATAATTTTTTCTTTCTATGAAAATAAATATTACATATTTATGAATAATTGCATGAAAAATTAATAAGATTTATAAAGAATTATATAGTTTATATTCATATATACATATAAGTCAAAGATTTTTACATGTCTATTAAAGATTTTAGAATTATCACACAATTAAAATGTTATTTAAAAATTATTGAATATTAGATGTGTTTATATAAAAAAAATTATACTCTCTTATTAATTAAATTGTATTATTTTATTATAAAATGATTATTTTATCAAAATTTTGAACATTCTTCAAATTTCAATATTCATTCAATAATCGCTATAAATTATTCTCACGCAAAAATTACTATTAATATACATTTTTAATATTAATATATATAATATATAAATTTTGCCTTAAAAATAAAGGATAATTTTGATGATAATAAAATATGATGTAACTTTTATGTAATGATAAAATGAAGTTCTTAAATTTTGTTATTATTTTGTATTTCATATTTAGATATATTATTATTGAATGATATTATATTCTATCCTGATATTTTTTTATATTATATTTCTTTAATCCTACTTTTTCTGTTGATTATTCTTAAACTATAACTGATTTATTATTATGTTCCATTATTCTAGTATTTTTTCTTTTAATTGATCTAAATGAATAAATATTAAATAATAAATTATTTAATTTATTATTTTTGAATATTTATAGTTTTTAAGTTAATTTATTTATAATTAGTTTATTAATTCAAAGTATTTTTCATCAATTTTTATATACATATATATTTTATTTTATGATCGAAGAAAAATAATTTTGAATGATCAAATAAGTTCACATTCTTCAAATTTTTTTTTTTGTCTTTTTTTTTTATAATCGTTAGGCAAATTTTCTTTGCTTGAATTCATTTCTAATGTTTTCTTTTTTTTTATTTGAAGAGAATAAACTTATTCTTTTTATCTTTTAAGATCCCAATTCTGGAAATTTATATAAGATAGAAATATTATTAGGGTATCCAATGAATTTTTTAAAAATATTTCAACAACATGATAAATTATAATGACATTAAAAAAAAAATAATTATTATACTTATATAATTATTAGTATTATCATATTTAAGTCATTGAAATGTTTTATTAAAAAAATATGATTTTAATTCGAAAAAATATAATAATATATTAAATATAAAATATAATATATAAAATATAATATAATAATATATTATAATAAAAAAGTATAATAATAA